GGGGGGGGGGTAGATAGAGGTTACATCCACAGAGAAGAAGGAGGAGGGTCGAGGGGATTGGGGGTTCCAAGGGGGTGGTGGGGGATGGGGTAAGGGGACAACATAGGAAATGTAAATAAATCATCCAATAAAAAAAAATCAACAAATGTAAAAAACAAAAAAAATTGTACATTTTTAAAAATACATATTTAGTCAAGTCTCAACTTGCTATACAAAATTATCATTTTAGAATATTTTTAATTTTGATGTTAATGTCGTAGCTTCTGACTAATAGAGCTAATATCAGATTTTTATTTCCCTATAAAATTTTCCTTGTCTGTGTCTGAGAATAATGATCCAGATAGAAACATGGAGTCAACAGAATACAAGGCTCATCAAAATCTTGAAACACTCTAAGAAAACAGATTCCAGTGTACAGTGTGAATCAAGTATAGCATATTCTACTTTTATATTTTTAATCTTAATTGTTATTGTTTGGGTGTTTTATCTGCACATGTGTCATGTGTGTCTGGGTAAATGTGGGTGTGGTGACTGTAGGGGTCAGAAGAGGACACCAGATCCCCTGGAACTAGCATTAGAATAGGTTATGAGACACCTGTGGGACTTGAACCACAGAGCTTTGCAAGGGCTAGCAGTGCCCTTAAACAAGAAGCCGTCTCTGCAGCCCTTCAGAGTATATTTCTAAACATCAGAAGGAATTCCAAGTTTTATCAGTTTACGTAGAATATGATGTCTCTACAAATTATAGCTTTTTATTTTCTTCAAGGAGAAATGAGAGTTGATGGTCATGAGAAATGAGCATATATATGATCAACTGAAAATATACATTGAAAATGTAATAATAGCATCTGGTTCACAGGGACCCTCAGAGCCTCTCAATACTGAGAACTCTTAGGTCATTTGTTAGATATGAAGAATTGCTTCCATTAAGTTTATTTATAGGAATTCTCATATTCTCATATTGTTGCAGTTCTGAAATACTTTGACAAGGGCATCGTTTTCAAATGTAAATAATTCAGAAAAGCATACTTCTTCATTGTAGCAAGAGAGGTCTTAGGGCAACTCATTTACTTATTCTGAATTAAACTGCAGCATATGTCACATAGCATGATCTTTCTGCATTCTTTCAATGTACATGTTTAGTACAGTTTGAGCTGATCAGACTATAGTTTATATTTTAGCATAAGGAGAATGTAGGTAAGTGGGGAACAGAGAGAGAGAGAAAGAGAGAGAGAGAAGGAGAGGGAGAGACAGAGACAGAGACAGAAGACAGAGAGACAGAGAGAAAATGTATAATAAAAATTTAAATAAATAACTTTAGATTGAGTTTTTGCTACTATGGATAACAAAAAATGTAAAATAAGCATACAACAACCACACACATACACACACACACACATACATAAAATTCTCTAGGTTATTTCATGTAGTGAGATAGAAAATTGACATATTTTAAAATAGTTGATTTTCTTTGGCTATGTTTTTATAAAGCCATTATAAACTTCTATTTTCTGAATGCTAAATGCCACCATAAAAATCACTCTGTTTCAATTATTTGTAGATGTTTGAGTTTTCATCATAAGACACAAGTACTTCATGGCATCTGCAGTTATTTTAGAATAAGATTACCAAAAATATCGTGTCTTGAAATTCAGGATCATTTCTCCAAATACCAGCTGATAGATTTGGCAAGGCATAGTGTATAAAGAAATGCTAAAGAATGTATGGAAGTTGAAAACTACATTTTAAATCACCATGGCTGACACCTCATGTCTGTGTCAAAGATAATTACCAACTAGCGTGGACACAAAGGAGGAGTTGGGGTCAAAAGGACATCTGCCCCTTCCTCTCTCAGATCTGTGTGACTCCAGGTGAAACAGGGGGTCCTGGAAAGAAAACAGAAAGACATTGTAAAGGTGCCAATTGTGATAAGAGTTTAATTGCTCACATAAAACACAGGAAAGTTAGGTCTCTAACAACTTACATAGTCTCATCAAGACCCTGATAACAGGAAGATATGTAGTTACACAGTGCATTTTATAAATAAGCAAAGACTTGACAGATCCTCATGCACACTCACTGTTGTCAGAGGGGAAGAGAGAAATTAGCAGGTTTTCTCAGTCAGTGAGATAATGTTAGCTACACTGAGATAAGCCAGTTAAATAGTCCAAAGAAGAAAACTAAATGAAGAAGGCACTGAAAGAGATTCAGTGATAAAAGGAGAATTGAGGTTTTTATCCCTAATGTGGCTTATTAATTTTTAGAATAATTTGGAAAAGTGTAAGAATAAAATTTACTACCAACAGTTTAGAATATTTATTTTAATAATTTTCATCATATGTTATTTTTAAATATTCAATACTGATAGTTTAGAAAGATTAGCTCATAACTTATTCATTTCAATGTACATTTATGTTAATGTCATATTTTATTCAGTATTTTGTTTTTAATTTGTAATATGTCTTTACATTAATAGATAATTAAATATTTCCACAAAAATACTATTATACAATTGGCTTCTATTTCATAAATATATTTACAGAAAATGTATATATATATATACATATATATATTCCAGCAAGTCTGCCATAAGTGATTTGGGTACAAGAAAGGAATATAGGAAAGTAGCAATAATACCAACTGTGGAAACTTTTGTAGAAAAGAGTAATTTTCAGTAGAAAATTCTGTTAATAAGGACTGCAGAGTCTTCGGTGAGCAGTAAGTCCACATCCACAGCAGGGGACCACAGTTGGATACGCTTTTCTTAAGCTTCACCTTGAGTTACCAGTTCCCCCATTCCCTCCTGTGCCCTGTTCTATATGTTGCCTTTCTACCTGTGTGGTGGCCTAAAATCACTATCCTGACTTTTCTATTCCAAAACCCTTCCAGTAAATGCTGAGCTCATTTGACCCCTATGACCCCTATTCTTGTCTTTGAATCTGAAACACTGTAGAACAGCCTAGAGGTGTGGCCCTGTAGGGTACAGCAGGAATGTGTTCTTGTTCCGCTGTTTTCCACAACTTAGAAGACAGTATAGATGGCAGTAAATTGGAAGAATCTTCTTTAAGTGTTCATGGAAAATAATTTTCAAAGGCAAGAGAAAAAATTGGCCAACTGAGAAGGAATTGTAGATCTTACAAGCTAATTTTGGTGTTGAGAGTTTCATACAAATTTGCAGAGCAAACCCAGAGCACTCCGTGCAAGTTAACAAGTGTGTGAGTGTGAGTTTTGCCTGCCCCTCCAAGTCCCGTCACTTTGTGAAGTATTTGAGAAAACAAATAGCAAAAAGCATATACATTTTAAAGGTATAGAAAACTCATAAAGAAAATATTGAGATGTTTGCTAATGTCAAAATCTTGTATAGGTTAAACCTCTGTAATACTTACCTTCTCATCTCAAGCTGCTAATCAGGTTACTGTCTCTAAAAGATAGTACTAGACACTAGCACAAACACTGAAGGTGTTGGAAAGTGTACAAAGAAGAGGGCTGATGTGTTTGAGGAAGGATCACACAGTGAGTTTAAAATTCACATGAGTGAAAGAAATAGAAAATGCAAAGGAGATAGTCATTCAAAAATCCTAGATTTGTTGAACAGGGGGTAATGACGTTAAAATTTCTTTAAAATTTTGTGAGTTTTCCCATCACATAGGTTCTTGAGACTTACACTGAATTTTGGATTTCAGCACATGTCTGATCAACCAAGAAACCCATAGCCCTGTCATTTTGAAAACAATTTGGTGAATGCATGATCATGCTGGAATGTTCGTCCTATGAGAGGCACATCAATGCAACATCTACCCGTCAGAGGCTGTGAGAAGACGGAGACTCGTTAAATCAAATTCCACAGCAAGAAGACATGAATACTAACACTGAATCCTAATATAGTCTTAGACATCAGTATCTCATGCTGGACAACATTCAGAAGGACCTTGACTAAAATCACTTCCCCCTTTTTTCATGCAGATTTCATATTTATTTGATCAATGGCAAAAACCTAGGTCAACATTGCTTATGTTAAAATAGTAAATAAATTAAACTTCTTTATTTGATTCCACCTCTCTAATAAAAGTCTATATTCTTCTAATCCTAAAAGTTTATACAATTTATCATTTCAGTTTTGAAAACAAATAGGTTTGCAACTTCTCTAATGAAAATGCCATTGTTTGTTTTCTGTTTTTTGTTTGTTTTCACACTACTGCTCAGAATGTGGGAAACCTTCTTGCAGAATGTTAATATAGGTGCTCCAAATATTCTTTATGTTAATTACAGTATAGTACATCTTTAAAAAAATATTATATCTGCTTTTACCTTTCTTTTTGAGGTACTGAATCAGATAAAGTCATAACAATATGCTCACTTTTTTGTCACAAGGGCTATTATAATAAACTTGTTAAATACCCAATAGTAAAAGCAAGTTAAGGACTCAGTTTACTGTAATGACCTGAGTTGTGAAGTAAGCCTCTGACCATAGGCAGCATTGTCTGAAGTCATAATTTCATCTCCTTTCAAGTATCAGCTTCATCACCACCTCTCAGCTGCCTATGAAATGTATAAGTGGCTGTCAGACATTTTGCCTAAGTAAGTTATCTGTACTCACAGGCTTTCTGACAGTTTAGAGCAGTTAAAAGTTAAAGCAGGAATAATTCAGAAATAAAAATTGTCACATACAAAGTCAATGATGCTTTATGACATAAAACAATTTTTGTGTGTGGTTAAGGCTGAATAGCCCTAAAAAGAATTTGCCTCTTTAATGGACACACTGAAAATAACCTAATTTTAAACCCATCAGTCTGCTGATAGCAAATGTAAAATTCCTAATAAATAAACCAGGAGAGGGATCATTTAAGAAGGCGCATCCCATCGGCTCTACTATTAATAGAAATGTCACAATTTTGTTCCAATTTTATATCTTCTCTGAGACTTTTCATTATGTCTTCTGAAATAACACAGTTGCAATCAATTTGTAGTAAGTGTCTCAATCTCTTTTCTATAACTAAGTCACTGATACTGTAACAGACAGAAAAATGGAGACACCGAATTCTCGTCTTGCTTAATCCCTAGACCAACACTAGCAAAGACATTTTGCAGATGGCACAACTTAAGGATGTTGAGATGTGTTGACTACCTGATGTTCTAAATGGATATAATGTAATCACATATGCCCTGACAAAGGAGATTTGATGATGAAAAACAGGATTATCCAATTAAATTTATGATAGGTGAAGTGAGGACCACCAGTGCCTGCTCTGAAGATGGACAAATGGGGTAGTAACAGTTCACAGTTGATCTCTCGAAGCTGCTGATGACGATGAAGTCAGTTCCCAATTGGTCAGTCCACCTGACATCTCAGTTCTTACCTAGTAAGATGCAGTTTAGATTTTTCACTTCAAGAATTGTGAACTAGAACATATGGTGATTTCTGCCATGAAACCTATGACTATTTGCTACAATAGCATTGAAAAAGTTGTACAGCTGCCAAGAGAACAGTGGTGCTTGCCTGTCTATTTTCCTTCTGTCTATTCATTAGCCTCATGTCTTTTTTTCCAGATTCTCCTATCTGTAAACCTAGCTTTCATGGTATTAAGTCTAATCTCCTAATGACAATGGAGAATATCATGAATGATTCATGGCACTCAAGACTGTGGGACAGTGGACTGTGCCAGAAAACTCAGTAAGGTTGAGTGGGTTCAGAGTCCCCGGCATCCAGGCACCCACCTGAGATGATAGGTGGCTCATTTCTCCCTAGCAGATTCCTCGCCTGGAACACATGACACACTTCCCATATAGGAAACAGGACCTAAGCCGGGCGGTGGTGGCGCACGCCTTTAATCCCAGCACTTGGGAGGCAGAGGCAGGCGGATTTCTAAGTTCGAGAGTTCGAGGCTAGCCTGGTCTACAGAGTGAGTTCCAGGACAGCCAGGGCTACACAGAGAAACCCTGTCTCGAAAAACCAAACCAAAAAGAAAAAAGAAAAAAAGAAGAAGAAGAAGGAAACAGGACCTATGGTCATGTAGCCCAGAAAAGAGTTTTCCACACTAACGATGTATCTAGAGGCCCTGGGGGATTGGCCAGTAAGTTTTCATTTCTGCAAAAGATATTTAATCTCTGGTCCACCCTGAGAAGGTGGAAATGCACCCATTTTTTACCATGAACAATCAATAAACAGTTTGGAACCAAGGACATTCTCTTTCATCAGGAATCTCCATGAAGAGCATGAGAAGGCCGAAAGCCTTTGCCTAAAAGAGCCTTGGTGCCTAAGCTTCCCGCAGAAGGCCCCTCCCTGTGCTCACAGATAACTACCACTAAGTTAAAGACTTCTACCCACGAGCTAAGCCAGAGTTCCCCATCCCCCCACGCCCAGGCTCATCCTCAACCTGCCAACATCCTCTGTTCTCTGCTGCTCCTCAACTGTCAGCAGCATATGGGAGTCCAGAAGTCTATGGACCCACTCTGTTCCCAAGTCCCTGCGAACCAGTGACATCTGGATGTCCAAGAGTTTGGGAGCCCTCTACCCCACACCAACAGGCTCCTTGTCGCAGGGCCATGGACCCCCGACCCTTCCTTCCCAACCGGACTCCATGCAGATTCCAGCCATGACTGGATGCCTGGGAGCTTAGGAACCCCTAGCTTCAGCCTCCTACATCCTAGGCTGCGTTTTCCATCTCTGACGGTGTGTATAGGTGCTCTTTACTCCAGCCAGTGCAGAGTAAATGCAGTCTGGCGCTCCATGTTTCATCTGCCCAACACCCCAGCGGCATGGCAAAACTCGGACCCACGAAGACTACAGTGAAAAGAGATGAGTCAAGAAGGAAAAAACAGAAACATAGTAAGTCACAATAAGATAGACATAGTAAGTTCTGGGGTCTTGCTGCAGGGACCATCAATA